TTCTCTCCTTGGCCTCAGTTTCCCTTGTCTGTACCATGGGGCCCTGCCAGATGAGGGAGATAGAGTTTCTCCCCTGACTCTACCACCAGCTAGCTGTGTGACTTTGGGCAAGCCACTCAACCTCTCTGAATCTCAGTTTCTTCATCTGAAAATAAGGGCAGGCACAATCCCTTCTCCAGGCGGTTGCTGCAGAGAAAGTGAGCCCCTAGGCATGACAGTGCTTTGTGACATGGAAACCTCTGAGCCACAAGGAGGGCGTGTCACCATCACAGTGGGAACACAGTACATGGCATGAAAACCATGCAAATTCAATTAGACACGCCAGGCCACCAGGGAGAGAGGAGCGAGTCAAGTCGTGAGGGCTGCCCTGCCCACAATCCAATTGGTGCTGGCCCTGGGCAAGTGAGATTAGAACTCTTAAATCTGCCACCATTCTGGGGCTCTGTTCCCAAGCCTCCCCTGGCTTAAGGCCAGCGTGACTCTATGCTCCATAAAACCTTCTAATCACACCCCATGGACCTCATCTGGTGCTCACCCCGGAAACAGGCTCTGATACAGGAACTCTCAGTGATTCAGAAAAGCGGGTGCCTGGCCTTCCAGGTCAGCCAGTATAGAGCATGCAAGTAAGAAAATCTAGAATCTTCCCCACAGGAGCCCTGGTGGCAAAGTGGTTAAACAATTCAGCTGCTAACCAAAAGGTCAGCTGTTCGAACCCCAGCTGCTTTGCAGGAGAGAGATGTGGCAGTCTGCTTCCATAAAGAGTTACTGCCTTGGAAATTCTTCGGGGAAGTTCTACTCTGTCCTATAGTGGCACTAAGGGTTGGAACTAACTCGACTGCAGTGGGTTTGGTTTTCCCCAAAGGCAAATTTATGTCCAAATTGCATTAGACATAGATCGATGGGGATGGGAGGGAGGTTTATGGGCTGTTGGAGGCCATCACTGGTTATGACAAAAACCGAGCATCTAATTCCAGGCCACACTCAATCAGCCCCTGGGTATCCTTCTCTGGGGACCCTCTCACATGAGGCTGTCAGGGAAGAAATGGGGTCATCCACAAAAAAATGCCTCAGCCTGGGGTCTGCGTGCAGTTAAGAGCTCAGTAAATGTTCATTGCTACTATTCTTGTCACTGGTAATGTCACAGCCCCTCCTTGTGATCCTGGGTCCCCACTGGACCCTAAGTATATGTCCCTTTCTCTGGGTGTTGCTGTTACTACCAGCTGCTGTGGCGTCAGGCCTCAACCCACGGCAACCTCAGGTACAATGAACAATGAAATGAAACGCTGCCCACTCCTGCGTCATTCCCACGACCGGTGGCAGACTAGACCATTGTGACCCACAGGGTTGCCACCAGTTGATTTTCAGAAACAGATCACCAGGCCTTTCTTCCTAGTCCGTCTGAGTCTGGAAACTCTGCTGAAACTCCTTCAGCATCAGAGCTACACACAAGCCTCCATGACAGACGGTGTTGGCTGCCCATAAGGTACACAGCTGGGAATTGAACCCAGGCTTCCTTCATGGAAGGGGAGAATTTTACCAGTGAACCTCCTGCCCTGGGTGTTAACCCACTACTGTTGAGTCAATGACGACTCATAGCAACCCTATGGAACAGAGTGGAACCGCCCCTAAATCTTTACAGAAGCAGACTACCACATCCTCCTCCCATCAAGTGGCTGGTGGGTTCAAACCACTGACCTTTCTGTTAGCAGTCGAATGCGTAACCACAGCACCACCAGGACTCCTTTCTCCCCTGTGTGGAGAGTCTGTAGAATGCAAAGGCTAAGGGTCCATGCCAAGCTGTAAATGAGCGTAAAGCCAGCCGGGCGGTATCAGTCCTGGGGCAACTGTCTTACTCCCTATGTGCCTGGACGTCCTCATCTGTAAAATGGGAGCCTAGTTCAGGCCCAGAAATTTGTATCTGCAATTTCAAAATGCAAAACTCAGTTGTAAGTTTCCGGCAAGCATTTGGTACAAGTCTTGACCTGAGCCAGTGGGAGGCTATTTATAATCTCGACGCGTCCCATTTAGTGTAAAAATTCATGTTAGAAGTCGTATTTCCCTGCAGAAACCTTCATGAGTTTGAAGCCAGAGCGTGGGGGGCTGCAGGGGAGATGTCGGCAACCAGAAGGCATAGGCCATGGACTCACAGAGACATAGCCGGGTGTGGCCAGAGTGGCCTATTTTTCAAAAGCATCTGGATCTTGGGATGTCTTGCAAAAGTAAAACAAAACAAAAGGAAGCCTTCTTTTTTTAAAAAAAAAAATAAAAAAGGACTAAAAAAAAATATTTTTAACACCACAGAGCAAATAAGAGTCATCTATGGCCGGATGCAGCCCCACAGGTTGCCCTAACCAAACCCATTGCTATGGAGCCCATTATGACAATTGAGGGTGACCCCATGTGTTACCGAGCCTGTCCTGCAGGTTTTTCTCAGCCGTCATCTTTGTGCAAACAGATCTCCAAGCGTTTCTTCTGACGCACCTTGGTTGAGTTTGCACTGCGAACCCTTTGGTTGGTGGCTGAGAGCAAACTGTTTGCACCCCCATGGATCTTTATGAGTGCCTGGGTTGCCTTACAGGAAACCAAAGTGAAGACCATCCAGAATATTGGGGAGCAAGGGGAAGAGGAGGAGAGAGAGAGGATGGGGTGTATACGCAGCTCAGAGCGCTCTCGGAACCATCCGTCAGGGCAGGCGGGGTCAAACTGATTCAACCCATTTGCAGAGACGAAGACTGGGGATTCAGGGAGGATGACTTTCTGGGTCAGCAGCTCTGTCTGGGTTTGCCCAGACTGAACCTTAAACTGTGGGGCCCCTGGTGGGGAGTCGGCAGGGAAAGTAAGGGGTTCCTGAGAATTCTCCCTCCCAGCCCAGGCGGCTCAGGGTGGGCCGTGGATGGCAGAGAAAGCAGCAGCATGATGTGCTGTTGTGTCTCCTGGCTCCCACGGGGTCGAGGAGGCTTGTTGCCTCCACTGCAGGGATTCTAGGAAGGACAGGGTGGGACGTAAGTGGTAGCAGTGGAGGAGAGGTCAGAGACACACTGAGCACAGCCTGCGGAGAGGCAGGAAGGAGAGGGCTGGGGCAGCCCCCAAGACAAGCAGCTGAAAAGATGACAATGTGTTGAGACACGTTAGGAACTAAAGAGCGTAGGTCACAGAATTTTGATCCAAGGGCAGGTGAGGGCTCAGGTAATCTAACTTCCTCAATTCACAGACGAGGAAACTGAGCCCAGAGAGGTTGAGTGACTTACCAAGGTCACACAAGCAGTTCCTGGATAATTCTTCCCGTGACCTTGTTTTACTGACAGAACAGAAACAGAAGTCCGTCCCTTTGATCAGGATTGCTCATCAGGAACACGCAAGAACCAGTAAAACACAGGCCTGGCCCTCGCAGGCTCCCCTCAAAGGCCCAGGAGTCACAACACAGACTCTGGGATCAGGCAGTCTGGGTAACAGTCCTGCCGCACCACCTACCAGCTGCGTGAGCTCAGGCAGGTTATTCAACATCTCTCGGTTTCCTCATCTGTATAATGGGGAAGAAGACAGCAGCACATACTTCACAGAGTCCTGTGAGGATTGAGGGAACTTAGCCATGTGTAAAAATGCAGGGGATAGAGTACAAACCATACTAGTGCTGGTGACAGGAGGAAGGCAAAGAACCAAACCCCCGTCCCTCTAGAAGCATGACTGGACAGGCCCCAGAGGGGGGCAGCAGGTCTGGCATGGGTAGACACCCTTCCTTGCTAGCCGCCGTCCAGACGCCCTGACTAACCACGCCCCCATGCACCGTAGAATGAAACGCTGCCATCTTGGTAATCCTTACCACGTTTGAGTTCGTGGGGGCCCAGCCGTCTCCTGGTTTCCCTCACCTGGGCTGGCCCTCCATGTCAACAAACATGGTGTCCTCCTCCAGCGACCAGTCTCTCCTGATGGTGCATCCAAAGTGAGTCAAAGTTTCGGACAATATTCCATGATCCGTAGGGCTCCACTTAACTTGCACGTGTAGACTGCCAAGTCTTTCTTCCTCTTCTTTCTTCGTCTGGAAGCTCTGCTGAAACCTGTCCACGATGGGTGACCCTGGTTTGCTTGGCTGTCATCTTTCCGACTCAGTCATCAGTTGTTGCTGTAGTTAGCCACCGACTCACGGCAACCCCCACGTACAACAGAACAAAACACCGCCCGATCCTGCACCATCTTTATAGCCACTGGTGCTCAGGCCCACTGAGTACTCTGAGGGCCTTCCAGCCAAGGGGCTCATCTGCTTACACTGGGTCAGACAGTACACTGTCGGATCCGAAGGGTTTGTACTGGATGATTTTCAGAAGTAGATCACCAGGCCATTCTTCCTATTCTTAGTCTGAAACCTGTCCGTCAAAGGTGACCCGGCTGGTATTTGAAATATTGATGGCATAGCTTCACAGTAACCTGCAAGGTACCACAGCACAACAAACACACGGGTGGGGGGCAAAGGAGGCAGAACCTCCCAAACAGCCCATATTCCCATCTAACGGCCCAGGCAGGAGCCAGGCCAGGAAAGACCAGTTCCCCACTAACTCACGTGCAGCAGGACTGTTACCCAGACTGCCTGATCCCAGAGTCTGTGTTGTGACTCCTGGGCCTTCGGGGGGAGCCTTGTGGGGAACTGGTCTTGGCTCCGTCACCAACTGGCTGGGCCACCTGGGGTGAGTCCCTCCATCTCTCTGAGCTTCGATTTCCTCCTCTGGAGAGATTGCCGTCATTCATACCCAGCCTGGTTCCCAAGGCTGAAAATAGAAGGAAATCGCACATTCCCCTGGGATTCCTGTCTGGCTCCTTTGTCATCTCCCTCGAACTGTGGCCTTCAAGCTGTTTTGATCGAAACAACACACAGGACATTGTTGCACCACAACCCCAATAGTGACGCTCACCCTTACAGCAGACCATGCAGTCGGACATTGTCTATCCCAGTGCATTTCATGTTTGGGGAAAAAAAATTGATGGCTGCAAACCACTGAATTGATTTCATGACCCACTTAGGGGTTCCAGCCTGCAGCATAGAAATCCCTACCCCTGAACTTCGTGATGGTATGTGGGGTGGAGGGTGGAGGCAGAAAAGGCCGTTGCTCAAGCCGTGGGTGGGTGTGAGCTGGGGAGCAGGGGTGAGGGGAGGCTCCACTTCCTGACCCTCTTCTCTCCTTCTGCAGTCACTTCCTGCCTCGGAGCCTTCACCAGAGAGCACGGAGGTAAGGAGGAGCCCCAAGGAGGCCTGGGGCAGGTGGAGTATGGATGGGTTCCAGTGAGCTACAGGGCGACCTGTGGGTTAAGAAGCTGTCACTCCCACTAGAGAGAGCCCCACACAGAGACAGAGAGAGAGACAGAGACACAGAGAAGAGCATTTAAAACGCCCACGTGCAGGTAGATGCCTTTTGTAGGCCCTAAAGCCCCACACAATGCAGGTCCTTGTGAAAATCATCATTATGACCCCACCCACACGCATGGAAACACGCCAGCCCATAAACACACCTGTCACCTAACCAGTTCTGCCCGGGGCTCCGTGGTCGAAGACGTTTGCAGCTAAGGCTGCAGAGAGAGGCTGCAGCCGCTTGTAATGCACATTGAACGTCCAGCCTGTGATGATGGGCTTTAATCCTAGAGGCCAGGGTTTTCCAAACAGAACTCCACAGAACATGGTGGACAAAGGGTAAGTCACACTGCATCCCCCACTGGAGACTTACGCCAGAGCAGAAGAGGCTCTGAGGAGGTCTGCAGGGAAGGCACTGTGAAAGCATTTCTCAATTCGGCAGGTCCCCAACGCATCTCACCACATGCCTCTCTTTACACATCACCCGTGTTCACATCATGCTGAACGCATTTTGTGGAAATGTAGCTGTGACATCTTACAAAGCCACTGGACCACCAGCAGCCTACAACCTGCACGGCCAGCCTAGCTCCCAGCCCCAGCAGGTTGCTTGACTTCGCTAAGCCTCAGTTTTCTCACTTGTAAAATGGGCATGAAAGCTCTTCCCTGGTGAGGATTCAGTGAGTCAGCTCACCAGGGAGAAAGCCTGCAAAACCATCTGCAAATGTTAGAGATGAGAGAGAGAGAGAGGTAGGTAGCTGGATGGATCAATGATAGATTGATTGATAGACAGACAGATAGATGATAGACAGACAGACAGATAGATAGATAGACAGATAGATAGATGATAGACAAACAGACAGGTGATAGAGACAGACAGAGCTGACAGATAGCAGTGGTTGAGATGACCCTGGCTCATGTACAACTTGACCTCACATTCAACAGAATGAAATGCTGCCCGGCCCTACATCCCCCTCACAATCGCCAGCATGTCCAAGTCCACAATTGTGGCTGGTGTCCCCATCCATCTCCCTAGTCCTCACCGACCCATGACTTCACCATGATGTCATCCTCTAGTAACTGATTCCTCCCGAAGACATCTCCAAAGCAAGTGAGATGGATAATGTTCTGTTGTGATCCATAAGGAGCTGTGGTGGATAGTGCCTAAAGCATTTGCCTGCTAACCAGAAGGCTCGCGGTTCAAACCCACCAGCCACTCCTCGGAAGGAAGGTTGGGCAGTCTACTCCCGTAGTGATGCCGCCTCAGCAACCCCAGGAGGGTGGCTGTGAGTCGGGTCCCTAAGGCATATCTGCGGCTGATTTTTGGACATGGGTCACAAGGCCTCTCTTCCCGGTCTTAGTCTGGAAGCTCCTCTGAAACCTGTCCACCCAGGTGACCCTTTATGCAAATATAAAAGAATATATATTTTTATACTTCCCTTCATTGAGCTTTATAAATCACACAAGCCAGTTACCAGTGACCCAGTAATTCCACTCCTAGTTACCCAAGAGAGATGGAAACAGGCGTCCATGCAAAGGCTCGTACAAATATTCATAGCAGCTGTACTCATAGCCAAAAGTAGAAACAACCCAAATGGTGAATGGATAAACATTGTGGTACAGCCACACAATGGAATATTATACAGCAATAAAAAAGAACAGACAATATAAACCTCTAAACATGTTGAGCAAAAGAAGATAAACCAAAACAAAAAACAAAACTACCCTTGTACATGCATATGAATGCTGGACAATGAACAAGGAAGACAGAAAGACAACTGACACGTTTCAATCATGGTGTTGGCGAACAATGTTGAATCTACCACAGACTGCCAGAGGAAGTCACTCAGTCCAGGAGGAAGTACAGCCCAATGCTCCTTAGAAGCCAGGGTGGCGAGACTTGGTCTTGTTTACTTTGGACACATTCTTGCAAAGACCAGTCACTGGAAAAGGACGTGGTGTTTGGTCAAGTCGAGGGTCAGCGCAAACAGGCAAGCCCGCCATGAGTGGGCTGACACGGTGGCTGCAACCATGGGCTCGAATACACCAAAGGATGTGAGGATGGGGCAGGACCAGGCAGTGCTTCGTTCTGTTATACGAACGGTTGCCAAGAGTCAGAGCTGACCCGACTGCAAACCAACAACATCAGGCTGCACAACTGCAGAACCAGCGGGCTAAGCCAACCTCTATAAGCGAGAGCACGCCCCTGGCTGCCTGAGACAGGGCTTGGGGACTTGCAGTGCACAGGGCCCGAGGGAACTGTTCTACGTGCAGATCGTGGTGGTGGCTACTTGAGTGTATACATTTGTCAAAACCCATTGAACTGTAAGCTTAAAATGACTGCATTTTACCATAGGTATAGTGTACCTCCATCAAACACATTTTTAAAGTTAAAAGCTGTATTTTTAAAGACCAGGCATGAGATTCCATCTCAGATTACTGGAACAGATTTGTGACGAGTGGGGAAGGTGGTTCCACTGGGCAGTGGGTACTGAGAACCCCGTGCCCAAAGCTCTAAATTTTGGGCCCAAGCCGAGTTCCTGGGAAGTAAGTAACTGCTGTGCCCAGAAGTGCCAAAGATGACAGGACCAAGGCAGGGGAAGTGGAGGCAGCAGGTGGGGAGGAGGTGGCCTTTGGCTGTGGGGGCCCCAGTGGAGGGCCCTTCCCAGTCTCACTGTCTCCAATCCTGCCTCCTCTTTGGCCCCCAGTAACCCCAAGGGTGAGGCTGAGCCACTCGAACTCGCGGTGCCTGGGCCAGCTGGAGGTCTTTCACCAGGACCGGTACTCCTCAGTGTGCAGCCAGAGCTGGGGCCGGAGCTGGGACCGAGAGGAGCCCGTCAAGCTGGCCAAGGAGATCTGCCAGCAGCTGAGCTGTGGGGAGGCCCTGACGCTCACCGCCATCCCTCGCTTCAACCATCCATGGAACCAGATCCTCTGCCACGGGCCCCTAGGGTTCCTCAACTGTACAAGCACCAGTGCTGCTCGGTGCCACCCTCTGAGCCTGATCTGCTTAGGTGGGTGCCAGCCGGGCCACGTGGGTGGGAGGCGATGCTCAGCTCACCACGTGCCCCCTCCATCACACCAGGCTGAAGGGGTGCTGGTTTCGAAGGATGGGAAAGGTCCAAGACCTGGTTCCAACAACTGCTACCCTGTGAGCCTCCGTTTTCCCATCTGTAAAACGGGTGGATACAGCCCACCTCACAGCACTGTTGGGACACATACAATGTTCCAGCCAAGTGGACTCAACGTGGAGCTTACGTTTTGCACCCAACACTGCTGCCTGCCCCCACCCCCGCCCCAGAGTCCTTCCTCCTAACCCACATCATTCCTCCCGCCCTGGGCCCCTTGCTGCCCCCTCACCAGAGCGTCTCATTTCAGACCCACCGACAGTGACGCCTCCACCCACAAGCCGCCCGCCCACCACCACTCCGGAGCCCACAGGTAAGAAAACCCCAAGGCCCCACTGGGGAGGGTTGTCAGATTTAGCAAATAAAAGCGCAAGAGGCCAGTTACATTTGAATTTCAGATAAGCAATGAATATTTTTTAGTAGAAGTGTGTCCTATGCAAGGTCTCTGGGTGGCGCGGTGTGTGCTCAACTGAATTAAAGGCTGTCAGTGTGAGCCCACCCAGAGGCCACAGAAGAAAGGCCTGGCAATATGTGAAGATTACAGCCCGAATGACAACGACCTGCTCACTGGTCTATGGAGCCTGGTGAGACCCCCAAGACTATGGCCTCTAGTTATCCTTCAGGTCTGGAATTGAACTCCCTCCCGTGGCTTCCAGCCAAACAACAGACAGGCATATGGAGTGAACATTTACATCAGGCAGATACGTTGTTTAGAACAATGAACCACAGGAGAACAGAAGGGCAGTATTTGCACAGGGAGGTAGCTCATGGGGCAGGAATATACAGGAGAAAAGGACACAGGGAAGAGGTAACTACAGGGAGGAAGTGGAAGAGAGCTGCTATGTTGTAGGGATTGCAATCAGTATCATGGGGGAAAAGGCGTATGAACTGCTGTATGGAAAGTGAATTTGCTCTGTAAACTTTCACCCAAAGCACAATGAAAATTGAAAAAAAAAAGATTACAGCCCAAGAAAGCCCTCTGGAGCTGTTCTATAACACATGGGGATTCCATGAGTTGGAATCAATTCGACATTGGCTTGGTTTTTTATTTCCTATTCGATATTTAGGAGCTCTGGGTAGCATAGTGCCTAAGGCACTTGACTGCTAACCTGAAGGCTGGTTCAAACCCACCAGCCGCTCCTCGGAAGGAAGGTTGGGCAATCTAATTCCGTAATGATACCGCCTCGGAAACCCAAGGAGGGGTCGCTGAGTTGGGGCCGACTCGACGACACACAATAACATTCGTTATTCGGGACCTCCCTGGGATGGGGAGCTCCCTGCCTCCCAAGGTTCAGTTGTTTGTCTGCGTGTTGGTGCCAAACAGCAAGGTGTGTGGCATGGCTAGGGACGGAGGCCTGTGCTGCAGGCCCTCACGGCTCAGGCCCACCTCCCCCTCTCTCTTGCCCAGCACCCCCCAGGCTGCACCTGACAGTGGGGCCTGGGGTTCTGCACTGTGCAGGCAACGTGGAGTTCTACCAGGGCAGTCTGGGTGGCACCATCATCGACGAGGCCCAGGACCTGACCCAGGGCCTGGGGGACCGCATCTGCGCAGCCCTGCAGTGTGGCTCCTTCTTGAGGCGTCTGCCAGAGGCCAGGGCAGCCGAGGGGGCACGCTCGGAGCACAGGCCCTCACCAACGCAATGGAAGATCCAGAACGCCAGTTGTGCCTCCCTGGAGCAGTGCTTCCGAAAGACCCAGCCCTGGGAGGGCGGCCAAGCTCTTGCCCTCATCTGCTCAGGTGAGTGGAACCCGGCCAGGACCCGAGGGGTTTCTGGGGCCCGGGAGCCGTCACGGGTCAGAGCATCCCAGCCCGGGTCAGTCGGGGCTAGTTTCCTGCCTCGCAGGGTCCAGGGAGAATACGGGGCAGGACACACGTGCACACAGCCCCTTGGGGACACCTGCCGACGCCAGTGAACCGCTGGCTCAGCAGCGCAGTGGGGAGAGCTGACCAGCAGGGCTTCCAGGAGGAGGCGAGGCTCCATGGGGGTTTTGAAGGAGGAGAGGAGTGAGGGTCTAGTGGAGGGAACGAGGCTCTGCAGGTGGGAACTGCCGCTCGTGCCCAGGTCCAGAGCGGGCCGGAGCATGTCGGGGACGAGCCTCACAGCTGTTGTTGTTAGGTGCCTCGAGCTGGTTTCCGACCCTTGATGAGGAGCGCATGTGTCGGAGTGCAGTCCCAGGCCCCACCCTGACACGGAAACCAGAGGGTTTCCAGTGGCCCATTTTTCAGTAGAGTGCCAGGGGCGTTCTTCCAAAGTGCCTCTGGGTGGGTTCGAACTGCCAACCTTTTGGTTAGCAGTCACATGCCACCCGGGGACTCCTGTCCAGGCTGTAATAGCTGATCTCTACTGAGAGCTTACTTTGTGCCCAGGCCCATTCCAGAGCGTTGTTTAGTTTTCACAACATCCTTAGAAGGCGGGCGATGCTATTATCCCCGTTTGACAGATAAGGAGGCAAGGCTCCGGGAGGTTAAATGTTTTGTGCAATGTCACACAGCATTAGGTGGGATTTCGGCTCAAGCAGTATCCCTAAGCCCTGGCCACTCAGTGTGGTCCTGGACCAGTAGCAGCTGCACCTGGAAGGATGCAATGTGTCAGGCCCCTCCCAGGCCCACGAATCAGAATGTGCATTTCACCAAGGGCCCCCAAGATTTGTAGACTCTAGGAAGCTCTGCTCCGGATCACTTGTGTGAACTAGTGGCCAGTTGTCCCCTCCAGGCAGAAGCAGCAGCCCCACCCCCACCCTGTCCCGGAGATCTTTTGGCCTGAGGAGGGGGCAGGGCAGGATTTCAGTTCCACTCATCCCCCAGTGTGTGTGTGTGGGGGGGGGTGGGGTCTTGCCTTTCGTTTCCTCTAAGCAGGAGATCCACTAGGGCTTTGAATGTGGATGTTGCTATGGAAACGGGCCAAAGTGGTGAGGTCATTCACCTTCTCCACTGAGCAGCTTGGCTGATTGTCCGGAAAGAGAATGAAGGCCCCACCCTGACACAGAAATCCATAGGATGCTCGTGGGAATAGGCTCAAGTCACTGAGCCTACCCCTGGGGCACAGGGTCAGGGAAGCAGGAGTTGAGGTTCTGACTGGACTCAGCAGGAAGTGTTTCCCATTCCTGCTTCAGCTTCCCTCTTCTGAAAAGCCTCCTTTCTTCCCAAGGAGCAGGCAGGGAATAAGACAGTGTTTCTAAGAGGGGGTAGACCAGGTGGAACCTCTCTGCACTGCTCTTCTCTTAGGCGCATCTGGCTCAGGGCCAGCTCCCTGCTGACACTGCCAACGGGCATCACCTCTGCCAGCTGCCTTACCAACAGTGCCCCTGCTGCTGCCTCTAGGATGGCTGCTGGCAGCTGCCCAGTGGGGCCAGAGACAGACTTGGTTGGGGGAAGTGCCAGAGGGGACGCCAGGCAGAAGAGAGGGTGGCTTGGGCCGGGCGGTCCCGCCTGGTGTCTGCCCGTGGAGAACGGACCCTGAGCTGGCTCAGTTTCACCAGGGATCCAGGAGGTGCCGCTTAGGCTGCCATGGAGCTGCCTCCAGGCTCCCCCCACCTCTGCCATTGCTTCCTCTCCCCAGACTTCCAGCCCAAGGTGCAGAGCCGCCTGGTGGGTGGCCGCGACACATGTGAAGGCACCGTGGAGGTGCGCCAGGAAAGGCACTGGGCAGCCCTGTGCGACAGCTCGCCAGCCAAGAACGCAGCACGGTGGGAGGAGGTGTGCCACAATCAGCAGTGCGGCAGCGTGAACACCTATGGGGAGCTGGATGCCGGGGAGAAGACCTCCCGGGGAGTCTTCTGTCTCCAGGAGAAGCTGTCCCAGTGCCATGAGCTTCAGGAGAAAAGGTCCCGCTGCAAAAGGGTGTTTGTCACATGTGAGTTGGGCGAGCACCATGGGGACAGGGCAGTGCTGGACTTCCTCTGTTTTTATAGAGCAAGTTCCAGGAGCTGGACCCTGAGCCCTAGAGCTCTGGAGAAGGATGAGAAGATGACCGGTGGGGGGAGGGAGGGCACGAGTACTCAGACAGCAGCGAGCATGAACAGAGACTGCACCAGGCAGCAGGCAGCGAAGGGATGACAAGACACTTACCAGCTAGGACAGAAGACCAAGGAAGAGATGGTAGACATTTGCTACACTAATGAGTAGATGGTTGGAGAGTAAGTGATAAATAAAAGAGAGAGATGGATGGGGGGATGCTGGATGAATGGAGGATGGGTGGCTGGGAGGAGCATGGACTGATGGATGAATGGAGGGTGGGTGGCTGGGAGGAGCATGGACTGATGGATGAATGGAGGATGGTGGGTGGATGCTGGATGGATGGATGGATGGGGAATGGATGGATATAGGGAGGATGAGAGGAGGGTGAACAAATGGATGGATGGATGGAGCTTGGATGGATGGAGAATGAGTGAAGGATGATGGATAGATGGACAGACAGATGCATAAATGGATACATCGATGGCTGACTGGCTATTGGCATAGGACCATCTACTGGTATGTGATGGCAAAGTGATCGGGTACAAGTAACTGACAGACGGTAGGGAGTGGTCACAGAGTGGCAAATGATAGTGGGATGGTCAATTGTTAGATGATAAAAGGGAATGAACAAATGAGTAACAGAATTCTGGAGCTGGACAGAGACAGGTCAACAGGCAGATACGTGCCTTCCACACATGCTGGTGAGTGCCTGGGAGAGAAGGGTGACCGGGGAAAGGCCTGAACAGATGGGACCCACACCCACAGGGCAGGGGCTGACCTGACTCCTCTCCTTCCCCAGGCCAGGACGTGCGCCCCCAGGGCCTGGGGGCGGGCACTGTGATGAGCATCCTCCTGGCCCTTCTGCTTCTGATGTTGCTGCTGGTCATGTGTGGGCCCCTCGCCTACAAGAAGCTGGTGAAGAAATGTAGGTGGTTGTGCCCTGAGCCACTTCCTTTCCAGCCCACCCCCTACCCTCTGTGGGCAGATTGGAGGAGCTGCATTTAGGCCCCACGGAGGCAGGGTCTTCCCCACAGAGGGCTCTCTGCTTCACCACCCAGCCCTGCCCTTCTTCTGCCCAAAGCAAGAGAACGAGAAAACCAGAAAAAATTGTAAACATTTTGATTCACCAGACCCGGGGCCCGGCTGAGATGCATTTGGGACCAAAGGAAAGGTGTGGCCACATTCTTTGGACTGGGGCAGCCCAGAGGGTCATGGGCATGGTCTCTGAAGTCAGGAGACACGTGTCCAGCCCGGCTCCGCCCCTTGCCTGCTGCATAAGACTGTGACCTAGTCTATCTACCAAGTGAGAGACTGTGTGCCTTAGGAATGTAGGGAGGTGTCCTTTATTCTTGCCTTGTAGAAGGCAGGAGAAAATTATTCAGAGACAAGGAGGTGGGATGAGAGAGGCTGGAAAGAGATAATCTGGACGTGGTCGGTGTTATCTGGTCCCTGGTGCCCTTGAAGATCTTTCTTCTTGTGCTAAAACCCTGTGGCCACATCTCCCGGGGAACCAGCCACCTCGACACACGCCTTTGGAGCTGCGTGGCTCCACTTCAACCTTATGAGCAAGTTAGGAAACTGAGGCACCCAGAGACTCCAGGGGACAGGACCAGCAGTCACGCCTCCTCCCTCCCTGTCTCCCCGACCCTAACCTGCCTCTCCCATCTGCCCCCCAGTCCGCCAGAAGAAGCAGCGCCAGTGGATTGGGCCAACGGGAATGAACCAGAGCAGTAAGTGTCCCTGGGAGGCAGGGGTCTCCCTGGGCCCCAGCTGGAGTCCATGGGGCTGAGGAAGGAGGCCATGACCACAGATGGAGCCAGTGGCTGCTTGAGGCCTCTGATCTTCACCACGTTGTCCACGTGTGACTGTGATCAGCAAGGGGGCTCAGGCCTCTTGATGGGCCAGATGGTTAAGTGGTTTCTGCCCCAGAAGCCTCAGAGACCACAGTGTCCCCTGTTTCTTGCCTCATCTCTGGGGTTGACACAACCAGAGGTCCTCAACAGCCTTTGCCTCCTCAGACACCATCCCCCCAGTACAGTGGCCAACAGAATTGGGGCACCTAGCAAAGAGCAGATTTGCAAAATAATGAGTTAACCAAAGCTGTAGTGTAGTGCCTAAGGCACTTGACTGCTAACCAGAAGGCTGGCAGTTCAAACCCACCAGCCACTCCACGGAAGGAAGGTTGGGCAATCCACTTCCATAGTGATACCGCCTCAGAAACCCAAGGAGGGGTCGCTATGAGTCAGGTCTGACTCTATGGCAAATAACAACAACAAACACAGCTCTTTATCTCAGGAGTTATCAGGACTTTTTTAAGGAGCATTTTTGCATTGTCTTTCTCCAAGGATTTGGATGTCTATGTTAGTTTCATCACAAGAGTGTCCTCATGACACCTTAAAAGGGCCTGTGTTAGAACTTGGTGGTGCAGCCAGCCCACCCGTCCCTGGTATTCACCGCTGATCCTCCCAACCACAGCCAGAGCCTCCCACAGATAGAACCCAGTCCTCTTCCTGCTTCCTGGCCCATCTTTTGTCCCCTTTGCAGTTCCAGGGCCAACTCTTGAGAAAGTTCTGTGTTACCGTCTTTTCTACAATACAAAGGCCATTAGCTCTGGAGGACCAGGAAGTCCATCCTGCCCCTTGTGTTCCACCTCTGTGCTTAATGAGTCTTTGATGACTGACTCACTGACTGTCTGAAGCCCACCATGCCCATCAGACTTGCTGGCCAGCCCCAATTTCGCTATAATTCTGCTGCTTGCCTTGCTAGTATGGACCTCCCCAGGAAGAAAGGTAGTGGGACGCACTGAAGGTGTGGGTACCCTGACCCCCCATTGCATAATGGGGACAGGGAAGGAAAGTTTGGGGGGCGGCTGCTGGGGTCTAACGATACCATCCCCTGCGTTTGCTCAGTGTCTTTCCATCGCAACCACACGGCGACTGTCGGGTCCCAGGTTGAGAACCCCACAGCATCTCACGTGGATAACGAATACAGTCAGCCCCCCAGGAACTCGCACGTCTCAGCCTATCCGGGTAAGCAGGAGCTGGCAATGGAGGCAGGCTGCGGCAGTGGCCTAGGCTGGGCTGCATCCTTGCATTGCAGCTGAGGAGAGGAGGAGGTGAGAAGGGAGGCCCCAGGAGAAGGATCAAAGCCACACGTCCCGGCAGTGGAGCAGCAGAGGGATGCAGCCTTAACAGGCCCCACTGTCTCCTGGAGGTCCCAGCCACTGCTCTCCAACAAAGAAGTGGATGCCATTAACCTCCACACTACTGGGCCCTAATGGGCTTGGTTTCCTGCAGGGCCCTGAGGACCTAAGGAAAATGAGGCCCCGGGATTTCTTTCAGCCAGGAAGGGCCATTACGTGGCCTGCAGGAGCCCACACTTGAATGGCCCCTTACCGGCACAAACAACTCAGCCCCAAGGAGGCTGCCACTCGGCCTCATTAGTGAACACTTGGCTGATTTGATCAAAACAGATAGTGGGCTCATAAAGCCCCTGTGATCTTGTGACCCGCTGGGCAGCCCCAGGCTCTGAGGTCAGATGTGTAACCTGTCTGGAGGGGGTCCCTCTTTTCTCTCCTCAGCCCTTGAAGGGGCCCTGCACCGCGTTTCTGCACAGCCTGACAACTCCTCCGACAGCGACTATGATCTACGCGGGGCTCAGAGGCTGTAACAGGTGAGCGGGCTGCAGCCTGACCCAGCTGGATGGCCCACGAATGAACAGTGTTAACCACCTGCATTGACCAGCCTGATTAAGGTAAAGTGAGAAGAACAAGCATCAGTCATTCAGAGGCCGAGTCTGGTCAATGGTCAGGTGCTGGGCTGCTCACCAACTGGCTGGTGGTTTGAAGGACCTCCTGATCTGCTTCTGAAAGGTCATGGTCATAAGAAGCCAGCCACTGAAAACCCTACTCTGGCACACGTCAGACTGCCATAGTCTAAGAGCAACTGGTCTTGAACTTCAGGGATGGGAGCTGATCTGGGCAATCGAAGTAAACTAGTCGTTATGGAGGGGACTCAGGGCGACCCCGAGGGTGTCAGAGCAGAACTGTCCCCCACAGGGCTGTCAGTGGCTGAGTCACAGGAAGCTGACACCCAGGCCTTTCCTCTGAGGAGTCTGGGAGGACTCAAACTTCCAACCTCTTGGTCAGCAGCCAAGTGTATCAGCAGCCAAGTGCATTCACAATTTGCACCCCCAGGGACTCCGGCAACTGAGCAGTAGAGTCATCAGCCTTTAAAATCATTTCTTAACAATCTCCATCTCAAAGCTCCTAAGAGTTTCATAATGGGCCAGCTCCTTCTCCCCCTTCCAGAGCCACCCGCCTACCAAGAAGGAAGATGACACCCTGACCCAGATGGGCAGCAGCTATCCCTGAGATTGGGTCCAGGGCGTGGGCCTGTCCTTACCTCCCTGAATCTCCTCCAGGATTTGAGGGTCTCCTCTGACATGTCTTTCTCATCTCCACAGATCTGGAGCCAGGAACAAAACTCTGGAGCCAGACCTGTTGTCCTGAGAATATTCCGCACTCCCCACTGGGAGATGACGTCCGACGTCTACTCCCAACCAGAATGTGCCAGAACAGGGTGTCCTTCAAGCATACCCACTGCCCCACAACTGCAAGCCGGCTCTTCCTCCTCCCCGCTGGAACCTGGCCCAGTGAAGACCCCAAACCAGCTCGGCTCGGCCCCCCAAGTGTGGAAGATGCGAGAAGGCAGAGCCTGGGGAAAAACAGCCCTCCCAAGTAGAGACACATGGTGACCAGAAGGACCTCCCCCACCACAGCTACCTGTCCTGGCATCGCCAGGTAGACCCTGGCTCTCAGACTCTGACCTCAGTGAGGAGGGAAAAGGAAGCTCACGCCTGGGTGGGGAGGGGTGGTTCCCTCGTGTATTTTTATTATGTTCTTTGTAAATAATACTGTTTCTACTGCGAACAACAGCATCCCTGCCACTTCAGTCCAGGGTCTGCCCGTGGCTCCCTCTGACGCCGCCCACCGGAAAGGGAACCTTCCGGGGCAAGTGTGTGGCCTTCGTGGTCGGAGGGCTGCAGGCCACACAGAGACAGCTTGGCACCTTCTGAGCAGCGGCCAGTCGGTGTGTTGTGACTGCCCTGGCTTTACTTGGCAGCCACCACCCAAAGCCCCATCACCATCTCCTCCACCTTGTGACCCCTCTGCCTCCTTGTCTAAAGAGAGTAGGGAGAACTCTGCCAAGCCCAAAGGGCCCCAATGCCTACCTTGGGCCCTGCACAAAGGGAGTACCTGTAAATTCAGTTAAAGGGTACAAAGCAGTTTCATGAAATCACAATTAACTTTCTGACCTAAATGTCAGAGAATGGGGCTGGCTGTGTCCCTTTGGTTTAAACAATGCTCTCAGCTGAAAAAGTTGTCTTTTACTCACAAGATCCTAGAACCCCAACCAAACCCCCCTCCATTGAGTTGATGCCGACTCATGGCACCCCATGTGGTACAGAGCAGGACTAATCCGTAGGGTTTTCCTGGCTGCCAGTTTTATGGAATCACATCACCAGGGCTTTCTTCTGCAGGGCTTCTGGGTGGGCCTTCACTGTCCACCTGTAGGGTACCAGTCAAGCACTAACTTCCGTACCTAATCCTGGGGTGCCTGAGTCTCCTTAATGACAAGTGAGAGGAGGCCGTCTACCTAGGCTCTGGGGTCTAACAGGAAGAGAGGCTGGGCTGCAGTCACAAGCCCTTGGGCATCAGACAATTCTCGAAGAAGCGTGGCCACAGGTCTGGACGTTAGGGCTACCTTCTGTGCAATTGGACACTGCACTCAGTGATCACCAGTCTAGCCACAGAAGCCAACTCCAGATAAGCAAGAGGGAGTATCTGGAAGGACATGGAATATGGGGTAGGGAGAGGGAACGCTCACACAACCTGGGGAGTTGGAGACCCCAGATGCACAGAGTATGGAGACCGTATGCCAGAAAAATTGATCAACACTCTCTCCAGCCAGTCCTCCCATCCAGTGGGGGTGACCCAGGTCATGGCCCTGGGAGTCTGGAACCAGGGATACCACTTACCAGCCCATCTTACCAGGGCAATGGGATTGCTCCAAGGGGGACTGAGTCTACCCTTAGGGAGGACAAAGGGTATCTCTTTACTTGTTATCCCGCTGCCGTCAAGTCAGGTCTGACTCATAGCAACCCCTCCTTGGGTTTCTGAGGTGGTATCACTACAGAAGTAGACTGCCCAACCTTCCTTCTGGGGAGTGGCTAGTGGGTTTGAACCGCCAGCCTTCTGGTTAGCAGTCAGATGCCTTAAGCACTATGCCACCAAGGCTCCCTTTACTTGTTAAGAGTGTTTTCACGTATAGTACAGTCACCATACAGTGGCTTAAAAGCAATTTTGGTCTACTTTAAAGACAGAGTTAAGTCTATTCTGACCCACAGTGCCCCTAGAGGACAGAGTAGAACTGTCCCACAGGGTTTCCAAGGCTGTCAGTCTTTATGGAAGCAAACTGTGTCCACGTAGTGGCTGGTGGGTTCGAAATGCCAACCCTTCGGTTAGCAGTGAAATATGCCTTAACCACTGCACTACCAGAGCTCCTTAAAAAGAGCTTAGTTAAGGAGAAAAGCCTCTTTGGAAAGCGGGGTTTTCCAGTGGTGGTAGGTTGGGTGATGTGTCCAGAGATGGGTTTGGCTGAGCAACTGAATGGAAGCCACTTCATTCTTATTGTTGCCATGAGTAGAGTCTGACTCCTGGCACCCCCATGTGTTACAGAACAGAACTGCTCCATAGGTTCTCACGGCAGTGACCTTGAAGAAGCAGATCTCTAGACCTCTCTTCTAAGGTGCCTCTGGGTGGGTTCAAACCACCAACCTTTACAGCTAGTGGTCAAGCACTTAACCATCTGTAGCACCAGCCTTGGCTGGGAGACCCAACCCCAGGCCACTGGTCAGCACGGCTACTGAAGGGAGCAGCAGCTCACACATCCGGCCCTTAGCTCCAGAGGCTGACGGGCTGTGACCTGCACAACCTCGAGGCTCTAGTCATGACACTGGACTTGATCCCTGTCCTCATGATTCCTTGGGATAGTTCTGTACACCTCAGAGCTCTGCCTGTGTTTCCTAGTGGACCACGTCATCCCTTGGCTTATGTGCTGGGCACCAAGCTCACGTCCTCTCCCCTGGATTTACTAGCTCAAGTTGCTGCAAAAAAAGGCATTTGTGAAACCACCACCTTGTTCACAGCCCAGAGCATGGTCCATTTCACCCAGGAATTCAGCCCAATTGTGTCCAAGTCAATGAAGAGAGACCAGACAGAGCATGTAAACTTTTGACCTAGGGGGGAAAAAAAAAAAACCCAGACGCCAGAACCATGTCATTTCCACCTGCCTGCCAGGCTGTCCCCGACCAATCGGCTCATTCTGAGAGAAAACAATGGGCACGGGAGCTAGCCCAGTGGGGCCTGGTTCACCAAGATATGTGCTGGCGAAGGAAAGATGCTTCAAAACACACACACACCCCACCACCCCAAAAGATGCACTCGGAATTCAGAATTAGATGCACCATTTTGAAAATCAGAAGGGGTTCCAGCTGCCCAGGGTGGGCGGTTGCTGGCTGAGGTGTAGTGAAGGGTCACCAATGGCCTAGTCTGTCATGTTGTCGGTCGGGCTTAAAAACATTCTGAAATTTTGAATTAGTTGCAAACATTTAAAAATTAAGCGATTTCACTGAAGCATCTGTTCCTGGCTTCACTGAGGGGACACGCCACCCTGGCTACAGGGGGCAGGGCCACATTTCTGCTGGGGAAACCCTGAAGTGCAGCCTCGTAGCCCCTGCGCCCCCACACCCTGGGCCACCTCTCTGAATCATGGCACTGCCTGACCTGGAGGCATTTCCGGGTGCAGCCCCTGAGGGAAGCGCCATTAACTACCCAGTAAGAAAGCAACCGGAATGGAAGCCATCCCACAGCTGAAAGGATATTCCAAATGACCTCGCCCCAACTATTAGGGAAGTGTTCCCTCTACACCGGGAAGCCCTGAGGCTCTGTCCCCACCCCCACCCCCACCCCCACAGTCCCTGTGCAGTACCAGGTCCCCGTGATCAGCCAAGGGTGCCAGGTGATTCCATGTGGGGGAGGCAGGGCAGGGAGGGGGTCGGGAGGACATGTGACCTTCTCTGTGCTGTGTAGGCTGTGTGACCACGTGGAGGGCCCAGGAGAGCAAGGGCAGCAGGGGACGCAATACCAGCTGAGGCAGCCCCTAGTAAAGCCCGTTCTTAGAAGTGATGCTTCCCCTGCAGCCCCCCCACACGCCGTCACCTCCTGACACCAACCCAGAGCAGGCGATTTGACTGTGCTCCCACGGTGAGAGGATCAGCCTCTCCCTCCAAAGCCCTGCTCCAGCTGGTGCTCCCTGGCAGTGTTCCCCAGCCCTGACACCTGCAAAGGCGAGGCCAGACCCCGGGAAGGAGGGGAGTGCCACAGAGGTTTGGCCGGAGCCCAGAGACTCTCCAAGCTTCCTGGGGGCTGTGACCTTCAAAACCTGATGGCTTCTGGGGTCCAGAGCCCGCCAAGGCATCGTGGAGGAGGTCTGGCCTCAGTCACCTCCAGGCTGCACAGCCAGGTCCCTGGCTCACTTCTTCCGTTTAGAACTGGGAGATGACGCACACAGGAAGCTCTGCAGAGTATCTGACCTCATCCACAAGGCAGCCTGCCCTTGTTACCTGGCAGGAAAAGAGGAGTGATCTGAGGCTCCACGACAACGTGGTCTCCCGGCACCCAAGGAGCTGCCCTTCCTCTGGAAAGCAGACCCTCCATTCCAGCTCTCGCGAAAACCAGCTCAGCAGAAGAGCTCGGGAGAGGGCGGAGGCCGGGCGATGGCGGAAGGCTGGCTGGTGCCACAGCTGCTTTAGTGGCCCGCTGGCCCTCTGAGCACACCCTGCGCTCCCAATTTAGAAACCGGACCAGGGGATGCAGACGTGGACTTCCCTTTGGCGGTCCTGGACAGGCTGACCCAAACCGACATTCCTTTGCCAGCCCGGCAGGGGGCAGGAACGTGTCACCTCACAAGCTGGGCAGGGACCGGACGCCCCCTGGTGGGGTCCTGTGGCCTCACATGAACAAGCTCTTGGCCCAAAACCAAAGAAAAAAAAAAAAACTCTCTGCTCTTAGCAACCCCCTTGGGTTTCCGAGGTGATGTCACTATGGAAGGAAGTCGACTGCAGGCTCCAGCACAAAGATGAGTGAAAAGGAAAGCCGGGGGGGGGGGGGAGCAAAGGAAGTCTTGTAAGAGCCAGGCCCTAGGGCGAAGGGGTAAAGGGGGCACCAACTCTAAAGATGGTACCCAGATGGGACGCGCAGCCACGAACGGGAACAGTGCTCTGAAGGCACAAAAAACCAAACCCACTGCCATCAAGTCAATTCTGACTCAGCGACTCCCAGTGGGTTTCTGAGGCAGTAAATCTTTTCTTTACAAACTAAATTGCCAGGTCTTCCGAGGAGTGGCTGGTGGGTTTGAACTGCCAATCTCTGGTTAGCAGTCAAGTGCCTTAGGCACTGCACCACCAGAGCTCCAGATTCTGAAGGTGGTGTGTGAAGGAGAATCAACGCCCCCACAGCAGCCACATTGTCACTTCCCAAACCCACTGGAGCCACACACAGGCTATAACTCATCATGTTTATTATGGCCATTAATCACACAGAAGTCTGGGTGCTCCC